CCAAAGCTGGTACCTTCTACCCCAAACAAATCCGAAATCTCAACACCTCTGCACCCATTTCCCCCTTACCACCAACTTACCGTAGTGCTCTCAAGGATCCAAACTGGCATGCTGCTATGTGTGATGAATATAATGCTTTGATCCAGAATGACACATGAGAATTAGTACCCCCCCTCCCCCACACAAAATATCATCACCGGTAAATGGCTCTTCAGACACAAACTTGGCCCTTCAGGTGAGTTAACCAGGTATAAGGCTCGATGGGTTGTTCGTGGTTTCAATCAGCGTTTTGGCGTCGACTACAGTGAAACGTTCAGCCCCGTTATTAAGCCTGCCACTGTCTGCGTCGTCCTTAGTCTCGCTCTGTCTCGCGGTTGGCCCATTCATCAGCTAGATGTCAAGAATGCATTCCTCCATGGCCAGCTTCAGGAAACCGTGTATGCCAGTCAGTCGTCTGGTTTCCAGGATGCCAAACGCCCTCATCATGTCTGTAAGCTCAAAAAGGCCTTGTATGGCCTCAAGCAGGCACCTCGTTCATAGTATCACAGGTTTGCAGGTTTCATTCAGACTATTGGATTTCAAGGGTGCAAGTCTGACACGTCCCTCTTCACTTTTTTTCATGCCACGGGCACGGCCTATCTCTTACTTTATGTCGACGACATCGTCCTCACTGCTTCTTCACCTGCACTCCTTCAGAGCATCATTCGGAAACTCAAGGCGGAGTTTGCCATGATAGACATGGGCGACTTACATTTCTTCCTCGGCATCAATGTCCATCGCACCTCCACTGGGATGTTCCTCCATCAGACTCAGTTTACCCATGACATCCTCGAGCGGGCTGGGATGGTCTCCTGTCGCCCCATCTCTACTCCAGTGGACACAAACGCAAAATTATCATCCTCAGCTGGGACGGCCCATCCTGATCTGACGTTGTACAGGTCTATTGTTGGAGCTCTGCAGTATCTCACTTTTACTCGACCTGACATCACTTATGCCGTCCAGTAGCTTTGCCTTCACCTCCACGCACCTAGGGACGTGCATCTCACGGCCATGAAGCAGATCCTCCGCTACCTTCAGGGCACGGCCACCCATGGCATTCATTTGACACGGTCCACTACAGACTGCTTGCAAGCCTACTCTAATGCAGACTGGGCTGGATGTTTTGACACCAGACGCTCCACCTCTGGTTACTGCATCTTCCTAGGCGATAACCTGGTCTCCTGGTCATCCAAGCGTCAGGCCACTACTTCCCGATCCAGTGCCGAGGCCGAGTACCGGGCTGTTGCGAATGCCGTAGCTGAGACATCGTGGATCCGCAACCTCCTCCTTGAGCTACGGCAGCCACTCCGACGTGCCACCCTTGTTTTCTGTGATAATATCAGCGCCGTCTACCTATCATCAAATCCGGTACAGCACCAGCGGACCAAGCATGTAGAGGTCGACATACACTTTGTTCGGGACAAAGTAGCACTTGGGCAGGTTCGTGTTCTTCATGTGCCCTCTTCTTCCCAGTATGCTGACATCTTCACCAAAGGCCTACCATCTCTGCTCTTCCTCGAGTTTAAATCCGGCCTAGGCGTCCGACCTCCTCCACATCCGACGTAGCCGGGAGCATGCTAAATATATTAATTATATTTATTATTCTTGTAATTATTGTGTTACCATACTTGTATAGGTTTCCTAATATGGCTCTCCTACTATGATTAGGATTGAAGCCTCTACTATATATTGATGTATTCTCTTCACAATTATTCAATGAAAATATCTTTTCTACAATTATAGTCTGATTGATGAAGTTTCTCTGGTCCGTGAGTATTGAAAACACTGATTAGACTATAGTCTGTTTACTTTTTATCTTGCCTATAATGGTGTGACTTTTCACATGGATAAGGTTGTATCAAAGTATTTTAATTGTTCAATTACTAAATGAGTCACTTGCATTGTTATTTGGGTCAGATACTATTTTTTCATATATGTGGGTTTAATTTTTCATACAAGAAGATATGCAGAGATGGGCTTGTTGATTCTTTCTATATGGACAAATATTCAATTAATCATAATCACATGAATAGGCAAACATATGAAAGTTTTAGCCACACAAATTACGTATGAGCTGCATTTTCCTGATCAAAGCAGGTTAAAGACTTGAGTACAAGTTATTTGGATTGTCTTCTCATTTATAGTCATTATAAAACTTTAGAGATGTATGAAAATCAAATTCATTAAATTGAGATTCAAGAATCATTTATCAAGTATATATTAGTTTAAATAAAACCTTAATAGTGTAATGAGCTAGGTAGATGTAGATTTATTACTTTGAGTGTTTAGTGTTTCATGCCATATTGGACTGAGGTTATTTGCATTATGGTTTTTTGTGTGCCATATGTTCAAGTTCCTTGCCATCACATTAGAAGTGTGATTCTTGCCATATTTGTGAAGACATGTAGCTTCTTTGAGTTATCTTTTGCATAAAAATACTTACTACTTGAGTTTAGTTTGATGTTGATATAACAATGTCACCTCATAGGGATGTTTGTTAGAGTGAAATTTGCACTGAATAGGACTAAAACGTAGGTCATTTTCCAATGTAGGACATAAACTTTTTTATTCTCTAAATAGGACTTAATAATGACTAGTGAGAAGAATAATGTCCAAGTGATGCTGGACATTTAATTGAATAATGAGAATATGACCAATAGTCCTACATTGGGAAAAATACAAACATATGGTCCTATATTGAGAAAGTCATTATGTTTTAGTCTTATTTAGGTAAATTACCTGTTTTTAGGTAGATAGCTATGCGGAGTTTTACCACATTGTGGATGGTCACAATTTGGTAGGTAGAGAATGTTGGTGTATTGGTTTGCATATTACAATTTTCAGTTGGACTTATTATAATGAAGACTGGGTAAATTTCAGTAATGATATCTCAACTTTAACTGGAATTTCGAAGTGGTATCTAAACTTCAAATCCTTTCAAAAAAATCCCTGAACTTACATAATTCTTTCACTAAAAGTCCATTTACCCGTTTCTGGGTAAACTTCTGGTCATTTGGGCTAAAATTAGAATTTTATATATTTTAAAATTTTCAATATTTCAATTTCCAATTTTCAATTTTACCCCATTTCTTTTTTTCTTTTCTCCCCCCTTCCACTCCCTTCTTTTTCTTCTTATTTCACCCCTTTCTTCTTCTTCTTCTTTCTGCTTTCTTCCTCACCCCACTCCCAGTCCCCCCGGATAGCTCCCCACTCTCTCCATTCTTTC